GAAATTCTTCATGAAACAATTGATCTTACATCAAATGTTATTCAATCACTTGAACAACAAGAAAAATTTGCTCATGATACTAAAGAAAGTTTACATAATCAGAATCTATTGTTATCTTTAGCTAATGATAAAATGCGTTTAATGAATCAAGATTTAACATCTGTTGTTAATGAAATGAATGAAATTGATACACATCATGGTTGTTTATGTTGTAAAATGAAAAAAAAGAAAATTGATATAAAACCAATAGCTATACAATCTTATACAAATGAGAAACCATTAGAAATAAAGAGAAGAACTTCAACGATACCAGAACTTATTAATAATAATGAACAAGAAAAAATTATTGTTAATGAATTAAATCAAATGAAAAATCAATTAATTCTTTTTCAAGATCAAGTGAAAACTATTAATCAATCATTTAAAGAAGGTAATGAAATTATACATCAACTCGGGAATGAAACAGATCAATATATGCATGCAAGTTAGTATTTTCTATTTCATCATTAATTCAAAACAAAAAAGAAAAATGATATCATTTTAGTTACAACAGCATTGAATAAAGCTGAACATGTACTTGGTCGAAAATTTATTGTTAATCAAGAACAGCAACTAAATTAATTTAAATATTTGATACAATCTGATTAAATTTGTACAATTTTTATTGATAAAAATTATAGAAATAAAATTTGATCGTTTTCATCTCTCAATATAAGCAAGTAGTAACAACTACAACAAATTTTGTAGTCTATTCACTTTAAAAATAAATTCTTTATCAATTGAAAATATAGGTCAGCTGAAACGGCTAACGGTCGACTAATACGATTAAAGTAGAAGTTAAAATTCAACAAAATTGAATAGTATCAAATTATAGAGTGCACTTTTCTACATACGACACTCCCTTTTGTTTCTATTTACTGACGCTTGTCAGACAAAAAGATATGAATGAGACAGAATTGTGAATTGATGAACAGTACTTCATGATTTAGCATGATACAAGAAAAAAATTGATGACCATTGTGCAGGGTAAGGATGTGGGTGTGGCTGTGACTGTTGGTGAAATTGAGAAAAACGTAAATCATAGCCACACCCACACCCACACCCACACCGTTAGAAATAAAAAAAAAATTATTACCATCAAACCACGAGGACATTCGTCTCACAGAACATAATATTTATAACATAAATGACCCTAAACTTGAATATTTTTACGCGGCTACGTCCGACGAAGCAGCACGAGAGCCAGAGTCTTATGAAATAGTGGAGCAATACTTTCATGATACTGATACTTCGATCAAATACTGAATTCAATGTAACAATGTATACTCTATCCAAGGATTGTGTCAGTCGTTTTTTTAGAAACATCGGATTGCAATTAAAATTCTTTATTACTCACTCATTTTTAAATCAAAGATAATAATAGAGAAGAGTCATATAATCTCTTTCATAGACGTCCATATCCTGTTGAAACCAATGAATAGGGGGGGGGGTGTGAGAACGTGGTTGACTTTGGCTAAAGAAACAAGGAACACTTACACACCCACACATCCAAAATGAAATGATCGACAATATATAAAATACTATAAGGAAATTGGGTGAGAGCGTGGGTGTGTAGTATAAGAGAATGACGTATGCATCCACATCCACACGCACCCTATTCTTTTAGTATTTTTTTTTATTTTGTTGAAGATCAAAAGGATCACATGAGAAATAAGTACTCTGTCTTTTACTTCAGTTTTCTTTCTATGTCACAATGATTGAAAAAATTATCGATCAGTCAATCATCTAATGTTACAATTTGTCTTACAATGAAATGTCCAGTCATTCAAAATATATATTAACATAATTTAAGACGCTATCAACTAATTTTTAGCATCGTCATTTATTTACTACAATCTTTTACGACATACATATAGCTATAGTCATATCTATTTTTCCGAGTTTGCTCAGTTTAGATTCCGTCAAATGCAGTCAACTCCTTTGTAATTTAACGCTCATTTCTTTTATTTGTCCTGCTTCTCTGCTTCTCTTAAGATTTCATCATTCTAAAAAAAGACATGTCACAAACACTCATAATTTCGTTCATGTATTAACTCATTTAACTATCTCCTTGAACGTCACTGACAGGTAATTTTTCTATTGAATATAATATAAAGTCTGATGTTATTATCATTTCACTCGCAGACACATTCCACGTATATTTATAATCTTCAAATATTATATGCAAAGTCATTGAACAGTTAATACGAGTGAAATAACTATGACATCTGCTATACTAACATTTATACAAAATCAACTCAATTATTATGGATATATAATTGTACTGATTTTCGGTGTTTTCGGTAATATCTGTATTGTCATTCTATTTAGCAAGCGCCGTCAAAATTCTTGCTCACTTTATCTTTTATGTGGAGCAGTAATGAACAGTGTTAATCTCATATACAATCTGCCGATTAATATCTATAGTGTTTATAATGAGAATTTACCATTCCGCTTTTTGGTTTTTTGCAAACTACGTTTCTATATATCTCACGCATGGAGTCAATCAGCTAAATGCTTCATCATACTTGCATGTATAGATCGTTTCATTTTGACAAGTAGTAGTGCTCATTTTCGAATTTTTAATCGACCATTGGTGCAACGATGTATCATAGGAGGTGTGCTCAGTTTCTGGCATATTTTTTGTATTCATTTATTAATCATGGCAACAATTGCCAATGGAATCTGTAGTTTATTCGGTCTGTATAGTATTGTATACTTTGCTTATTATATGATTGTTATTTCTATAATTCTACCAATCATAATGGGCGTTTATGGTACTCTGGCCTTTCGTAACATGAGACGTCTTCATACACGCGTTCGACCGATGGGTAACTCGAATAACGAATATCCCGCCGTCGGAAGAATTCATCGTGCAGATCGACACTTGCTTATTATGACAGTTAGTGAAGCCGTTGTCTGTATAGTATCAACATCTATTTATCCAATCGTCTATATGGAGACTGCAGTGACCGGATTTATTGGTATTAACAAGAGTCCTGAACGAATTCAAATTGAAAGCTTTATGATAAATTTCGGATCATTTCTCCTTTACTTCAATAATGCCGCTCCTTTTTACACA